TAGCGTACGTTTGTAATGTAACTAAGATTGACTACAGATGAATGAAAAGGTAAGCGTTACTTTTATATTAAAAAAAAGTCTTCAAAAGTTTGCTTATCAGCTTTTTTATTGACACCGGAACGGAAAGTGCGCTAGACCGGATTCATCCCCTAGTTAGTAGTAGCACAGCGTCCAATTCGTATCAGTTCCAAGTCCGAACAATGGCTGTCCGAAAAAGGTGTACAAGCGATATTCGTATTTTCTCAAATTTGAATCGGACTCAATGCACAAGCGACATCCGAAGTGGGTCCGAGTTTTCTAGATTTGTATAGTCTGGGATTCGGAACATACGCGCTTAGACGTGAAATATTTTCTTCAAATTTAAATAGAACCAATACTGAGGTACTTCCAATGAGAGGTCTTTCCAATAAAAAAGAATCATCAAAATCGGTTCACAAACGCCACGTAATCGCGTAACAAACATACAAAAACAAAAGATTCAGTCGAATTAAGTACCTCCTCCTTTTTTTGCTTTTTTTCCTTACAAAACGTGAACTTGACCTACGACCATTCGCTGTGTCAATCAGTTTTCAGAGCAGATTAAATCGTGTTACAGTGTAGAAAATACAAGTAATTTTTTTAGTCAACGAATTATACTTGTAGAAGTGAAATTTTTCGTCAATCGGGATAGGCATCTATAGTCAAATTGCTATCTTTTTATTGAAACATATACTTTACCAATAAATGGGTATAAAAATAGGCATGGAATTTCATATGAAGCTAAGTATTTGTATTTGAAGGTAAGTAAAAATCATATTATAAACGTGTATTTTACTAAATAGATGTACTCAAGACTGTAACTTAAGTACCCAAACAAATGGGCTATAATTGACCATACTGCCAGATCTGAAATTGTAATAATTTTTCAATACTTCAATTTTCTGATATTTTGGCGCGGGGATTCGTTATATATATTTACGATGGCCATTTTGAATGACATTTGTAAATGACACGATAAATGTTCTCATTTTAAAAAGTTTCCGTTTATTGTTTGGAAGCTCTGTTTCTTAACTTTTTCAATGAAATAGATTTATTAACTATGTAAAGAGTATAATAAAAGAGTAATAATTACATAACTTTAGTAAATGTGTTTGAGAATTTCGTTTCGTATTTATAGTAAATAATTACCGTGCTATGCTAACAAAACAGTATAGAATGAAATGAATGGCGCTTGATAAAGGACTCGCAATTGTAATGTAATACTAAAAAAATACGAACTAGATAGTAGAAGTTACACCACAATTTTCAATTACATGTTTTTTTTCATTCAGACCTCAAGAAAGCGTTTTAATATTGAAAATGTTAAGTGAACAAGGTGTTGCCATATTCAAAAATTTATTTAAAAAATCGAAAGGAATTTAAAAGTAAAATCGTAAATCACGATTCCCCCAATGAACGCAACGCCATAAATCGTTTCCACGATAAAAAAATTTCCCTACTCAATTAATAGGTACAACCACGGATGCTTTATGTTGTAGAGCACTCGAATTCCACGACACATGTCAACATCTGTTCGACAACTACCAGGGACACACGTTTCCGGACGTTTTCAATTTTTTTGTGGTAAAATTAACGCTTGGGGTCACGTTCGGATACACGTGTTTGCTGTACGACACGGTAATAAATAGGAAATGCAATTTTTGTACGCGAAATGACTTTGATTGGAGTTTTTCTTTTTGTCATTTTGTGATTCGCTGAAATAGTCATTCATGAGACATAAATAAATAACGAATAATGTAATATTTTAATAAATAAACATCAAGTCTGCTAATTATCTTGAAAGTAGTGGTCATTGTAATTCCATAGAGTTCTTAATTGGACGTAGTTAAACAAAAAGTATCCAAAGCACAGTCCAGAAGTTTGAAGTTTAAAAGTGTTTCTCACTCTTGTTTTATTTTGAAAACGTACAGTGGGATGCAACTCCAGAGATATTTATTTATGTTTATATGTTGGATATTTTTTGCTGATCTTAGAGGTTTAGGCTTCAGGGACCGTTTGGTACATATAACTGATTTTTTGACAATTTTGTGAATTGGATCCATTTTGCTTTACTACGTCGAATTGCAATTATGATAATATTTATTATTCCGCTGAAATCTTGTTGCAATGGCAGTTGAGTTTGAATAGTGTCAGTGGATTCATTCAATCAATCACTAACGATCGATGTTGCTTCTAAAACTACCATGGAAATTATTACTTTAAACAATTTAGTCTTCAAACAAAGTATATCGAGCAACTAATCAACAATATATATATATATTAGTACAGTATGCATACGCCATCGATTCGCCAATTAAAAGCAGAATACCAAAAAATTTCAACATGGCAGTTGATTAGTTGCTCGATGGTTAACCATTGACAGCCACTGCTCTAAACTTTTAGCAGAATACCAAATGTACAAAGTCCTGTCATTGACATACAACCGAGATGATTTAAAATTAGCAGATTAGCAAACTAGGAAATTTCCTGTACTATGAATAAAGTGACCATACGTCCCGCCTTAAACGGGACAGTCCCGCTTTTAAGCCTCCTGTCCCGTTGTCCCCGAAATATTTCACAATGTCCTGCTTTGACAAAACAAGACACACGTGACATTAATTCACCAAACTACACGAGATAAGTTTTTCTTTTTAATTTCCTTAAACATTTCGTAACTATTACAAACATGTGTTTTGTTTTAATTAATTTTTATAACACAATAGTAAATTTACAGGCGTCCCGCTCCGAGGGAAATAAATAATGGTCACGTTAACTATAACCCACCCAGATCAGAAAGAGATTCATTTTCCAAATTTGACCTACCGAGAACGAAACTCGGGACCTCCACATACAACGCTCACGATGCAAACCGTGGTTCACGGAGGTTCATCGTCCGAATAAAAATCGATGACAAATATTCAACATTAAAAAGCAAATTAATTGTAAATACTACTCGCCTCTAAAAGTTACTAGTTCTTGTCAGATACAGAGCTATAGTTTTAACTGCCTCCGTGGCCGAACGGTTATGAACGCAGGGGTCCCAGGTTCGATTCCTGTGCCGGGAGAAATATTTGTATGGCCTACATTTATTTCTCTCGTGAGTTTGGGTGTAATTTGTGTTGTCTACATATGTGTCCATAGCACCCGCGACACAGGGTTTCCCTAGTGCGTAGTGTGTTGAGTGTTTGCGTTATTATTATTTTATTATCATATAGCTATGATGAAGAAATATTCTATCACTCGTCAGTCACCTAAAACATCTAATAGAATATAGAAAATATTAAGAATGTTCAATGTATACTCATATATTGCAACGCCCTAACATCGTCCATGAATGAAAGACAACACGAAATAAAATTATCTACTCCATTGCTATTTTGCGTTTGCAAATACAAAAAAATGTTAATAAAATTACATTAACATACTTAGTAAAAAGCTTTTATATCTAAAAGATATTGAATTTGACAGAAATCCCTATATCTTAACTACTTATTATTATTCAAAATCCACAACTTTATCTTTCATACGACCGCCATCAATACAGAGTTTATGTTCCGTTTTACGACTAAATCAACGGTTTCATCTTGTAAATGTAACCCTTAAGTTGTCTATAAAATTATGCCATCCGAAGTATTCAAAGTAGGATCATAAAAGATAACGTAAAACCAAAAGAAATGTTAAATATCTTTTTGTTTTTAATAAAAAAAAACTGTTGGCACGCGTGTTTTAACATTTTACATGCCTGCCTGTTTTCGGGGCGAAATAATAAAATTAAGTAATAAAACGCTTTAGCCATTTACGTTTTAATTCTTTATTTAGTAACAAACGATGTCCTTTATTAAATTCTTAGTTATTGTAGCTTATTGGAATAAAATATGAAACGAACTTAAATGGATAATAATTCATTCATTTCATCATTTCGGCTATTTATTCGTAAGCGTATCGGAAAAATGGAACACACAAATTTTCTCGGTATTTAAAAAAGCAATTAAAATAATTTACTTGGAGAGTTTGACGACTGTGATTTTTGTTGTTCGAAAAAAACCTATTCTAACAACATGAATTAGTGTTTTGGGATGTGTTCATTAAAGTAAAAAGTGGAAAGAAACCGAGCATTATAATTGTGCGTGCATGAGAATTACTAAATCGTTACAAAGCAAAATTGTTCCAAACAGTCGTTGGGAACCGAAATTAGTATACAAAACGGTGTTTTGTGAAATCAGGTTAACAAAGCTATCTATTATTCGGCTCCGTATAATTAGAGGTAAAGATTCGCCCTCAAATTGTAGTTGATAATAGAGAAAGCTTGGAAAGCTTACTATTTTGAGACAGACTGCGCCATCTAGCGGGGAGCGCTCTGTTAAGGTTTTGATTATTTGTTTATTTCCTTAAAAAATTAAGTTAAATGAACATTTGTTGAGAACAAAAGGGTAGCATTTACTTGGTAACTACGGATTTGTGCGATTATTAATGGAGATTGGAATTTCAAGTATAAGCGATTTGAAAGTGTTATAAAAAAGCTCATGAACGTCTCAAAAGCGACCGAGTCTAATCTTATCGCCCCCATCATCGCGGTCCAACTATTCCTAATACACGACAAAGCACAAAAAATCTTTATTAACTCAATTATAATCAAATCGACGAAAGTCCAACAACAAAAGTTATCAAAAGATCGTTAAGTGGCCTCGCGTACGGGTCTAGATGTACCGTTATAGTGAACCGCCTAATTAATAGTCGCCCACTCGCACCTCGGCCAGAGTCGAACCCGTTCCGAGGCTGCAGTGTGCAGCAAACAGTGCACACCGCATCTACAATGCAAATCCACAAACACCATCCACAATCTGCGATTCAATACCGACGCGTTTACACCGCGCGAGCTTCCTTACTCGCACACGAAACCGAATCGAGACTATCGATTTAACTCTACACGAGGGTCGTAGAAAGAATTCCTTACAACAATGAGCCGGTGTAACAATAAATACCTTAATGATATCCCGAGATCGGAGAGAAAAGGCGTCCGGCGGCAGGCGGAACCCGTCCCACACTTTTCAATACAAATCCACTATAGCATCTTGTACACTAAACATCACAAGGAATGGCACAATCTCACAGGAGCACTATTCAATTTGTAATCCACAGCACTGGTTTGGTTATGGTACAAAAAGATGTTTTTCGTAACACAACGCGGCGAGACTATCTCTCGACAAGAGGACCAACGCTCGCGGGAGCCGGGCACGGACTGAACTGGTTTTGGTGGGGAGGGCGCGCGGGGATGGGCGGACGGGTGCGTTTGGTTCGTTTTATGAAAATATTTCGTGAGTAATGCACGTGTTATGTCGGCGAGTGCGTCGGCCTAGAACGGCCTCGGTTCTTTGATTGAAGTGCAGGGCTCTGTAGATAAGATAATGAAAAGCAACGCGTCGAGGTGACCGTCACACCAGCACATGTCGGAGCACCTTGTGAGGTCTTTGTCTCCTGCCCACGCTTTCCATTCGATAAAGCAGGCTATGCCCGGGCTTTAAGCTCGTTGCATTTGTATCTACAATCAAATTTACAACGTATTGCTACTCGTATGATGTTAGATTGGATATGGTGCCATCATTGTGTTTCTATGGAAATTGCATTGCTTTCGAGCGTTTCGAATGTAATTTTCTTATCAACTGGACAATAATATGACGATTTATGTGAAGGGGTTGGTATTTAAGAGAACGCCGAACAGAAGATAGCATTTACCTTTATTTAGTTTTAATGGAAATAAAGAACAATTGTTAACCATTACGGAAACTAAGAAATAAAATCATACGAGTAGATTATTGTATTATACTATTTTTAGAAGTCAATGTGGAGTATCAATCTAAAGACGTGACTAATGAAGTGACGAGATGGTCTTATAAATATCTAGGCTAGGAACAATTGTAAATACAAATAATTAAACGCAAAGTAGCTAATTGTTAAATTTTATCATAATCATATAATATTATCAGTAATATTTAAATGATATATTTGGCGTTTTACTGTTTTGTGTCATTTCATTGTAATCTAACAATAATAGGCTGTTATTGTCCCAAATAAAATAAAAAAATACATCGTATCTAAATGAAACAAAATGCTGTGCCGTAACTCAATATTGTGGACTTAAGAAAGCACAATTTGAAAATTAAAAAAAAAACACATAATGGATCTTTTTATTTATACATAATATAGGAAATGAGACTGTTTTTCCGGATTTTAATCGCGTATATTTTTCAAACAAACCCTTTACAGGTCTCATGGTGACGGTTGACATCGAAACGTCGGTTTGTTTGAAAAAACAAATATACGCGATTTAAATCCGGAAAAATAGTTTCATTTCCTATGTGTAACAATCGCGAAAACCTAAGAACTCGATATTATAAATAATACTTAAGTATTCAATTATAAATGAGTATATTATTGCTTTTGTTCAGTGTTTTAAATTTTCACATCGTGTTTTCTCAATTTCACAATTTTGAGTTACGACAATATTTGGTTTCGTGTTCATCCGCAAATAAAAATGCAACACTATTCAGAATAAAATCCATTCGGTACTTTTTTGAACTCGTATTCTAACAATTCTACCAATTTTTGAGTTACGACAGTATTTGGTCACACCCCGGATACTCCATACAACGGTCGAAAATTATTTACCTACTACTACTACATACAGCAAGGCGCTATCTGCACACGTGCAAATGTTTGCGTGAAGTGGCAGGGTTACCCATCACTTTCTTGCACTACTACGTTACTTGGTCAGAGCGGCAACATAGCGAAAATTCTAACGCGAATCTGTTATCTATGATTCTTTTAATAGATTACATGTCTATTATGTATTTACATCGGTATATTATCATATTTTCCATTAATTCACTAACTATATAGGGTAATATTGAAGATTTATTTCAAAAATATATTAAAAGCACTTAAAATGTTATATTTCTGACATGTATTTCTAAGTAAGGTAACCAAGGTATTTGAAATGGCTGGTCCAAGTTTAATTAATGATTAGATATATTCACTACCTACGTAATATTAGGGGTTAAAGTATGAAATTGCCGTTTTATTGCAATAGGTTCTTTGAATTTTCATAGAATCTTCATGGTTTGAGGTTTTCGAATGAAACTTTTTTCAAATGGTTTCTGTGATTTTTTTTTTTAAATTTGAAACATTTGAATATCGACTTTCAATTGTTTTTGTTATTCAATTTAGACAAGAAAGATGGATACTGCGAAAATTCGAGTGATTTTTGAATACGAGTTCCGACGCAGAACTAACGCGGCAGAAACAGCCCGCAATATCAATGCTGCGTTTGGAGAGGGGTCTACTAATGAACGCACCGTGCGATTTTGGTTTAAACGCTTTCGTGATGGAAATTTCGACTTAAAGAACGAGCCACGAGGAAGACCGCCACAGCCCACACAGGTGAATAACGATGAATTAAGAGAGATAGTGGAAGCCGATCCTAGTCAAACTACCCAGGAATTAGCGGCATGGTTTAACGTTACCTTACCCACAATATTGACTCACTTGCGTCAAATCAATAAAATAAAAAAATACGAAAAATGGGTGCCTCATGATTTGACTGATCTGCAGAAAGAAACGCGTGTTGAAACTTGTGTTGCCTTGTTGAACCGGTACAGAAATGAAGGAATATTGGATCGAATTGTAACATGTGATGAAAAGTGGATTCTTTATGATAACCGGAAAAGAAAAATGCAATGGCTGACCCCAGGTCAAATGCCACAACAGTGTCCTAAAGCAAAACTTACCAATAAAAAGGTAATGGTAACTGTTTGGTGGTCTCAGCATGGTGTTATTCACTATAGTTTTCTCCGATCTGGTCAAGCAATAACGGCAGATGTCTATTGTGCCGAACTCCGAACCATGTTGACAAAACTAGCAGTAAAACAGCCCCGACTCATGAATCGATCTTCACCATTATTGCTCCACGACAACGCGAGACCTCACACAGCACGAGAAACCATTTTGACCCTTCAGGAACTGCAGTTAGAAACCATTCGTCATCCTCCGTATTCACCAGAACTTGCTCCAACGGACTACCATTTTTTTCGTGATTTGGACAATTATCTACGTGACAATAAGTTTTCTTCCCAGGAGGCAGTACAAAATGCTTTCACACAGTTTGTGCAGTCTAGATCGTCGGAGTTCTATCGCAAAGGCATTAATAACCTTCCCATTAGATGGCAGCAATGTATAGATAATAATGCCGATATATATCTATATTTATATCGATATATTTCTTCGAGAACTAACGTAGCTAATTTTACACGCCCACATTTGTTACCAAATACGCATAAGATTTTACTACACGCAAATATTACTTGATATTAGATACGCAGGCGTGCTAAAATCACAGTATTAATGATTTATTATACTGTCGTCGTGCTTTCATTAACCTACTCTATCCGACCACTGGAAGGGTTGAAATATTAAAACACAGTCATCATCAAAATCTTTATTTTCCCTGAAATATGATATATTTGTTCAACAATTACCTCTTTCTGAACTGACTGAACATGACTACACCTACAGCGTCGACGAGCTTGTCAAGAAAATAAAGATACTTATTTCCGGAGGCGAAGAAGCGAGTCATTTGTTTCATGAAAACTTGACGAAAAATAACTGACAATGCTTCAGAAATGTTTTCACATTTAGATGAGGTCTATGATTTGTGAATGCGACTCTGAGTTTCATGTCATATATTACCTGATTAAACAAATAATTTGTTTCTTAATGAATTTTTCGGTAGTTATTCATATGTATATAATTTAATGTGATGTCACGAAATGCCTATAGCAAATGGTGCTACATTTAGTAGGTACCCAGCTTTTGCTGCCTGTTGCTTCAGCCCATTTCTCCTTTAAAAGGGATCCGGCGGGAAACTAAAAAAATCAATACAAAAACTGCGAATGTAAATCATGCCTGTGATAAAACTAAGAACTCAAGCGGACTAAGGTGACGTATAATAAGCAAGCAGGGAGATAGGAATTATGTAGATAAGGGAAAGAAAATCTCCAATCTTATAAAGTCTTCGTTTGATACTCCACGTACTTACGTGCAGTTCAAAATTATCGACATTGTACCTCTTCTAATTTTAATTTAATACATCGTTTCTACTTAAATTGAAAATTTAAATAAAACTATTGCGAGTGTTGGGACGCGAGCTAACATTTCGGTAATCAAAATGTTAGCTTTTAAATACCTGTAAACAATTTATGCTTACACATTAGTATCTACCGCTATAATAAAAAACATGTTGAACTAAACCAAAACCGGGATTCTAAATACAGGGTTTCTACATATCGATAATTTGATTACAACACGCGGACCCAGTACCAAGTGTAATATGACACTAGTGCACGCAATTCATTGAGCGTCATTTGAATTGTTCTTTTGACGGCGGCGATGGCTAGCAACCAATGTATATTTTTATTACCGAGTTACAAGAAAATAGTTTTGTTTCGAAATTATAATATTGTATTGTTCAAAATATTAGAAAATTCAGAGTTTTAGTACTTACCGATGAAATGAAATCACTTCCGGAGTATTTTTTTAACTTTGGCTTCTTACGCGACATGACATAATGGCACAATTTGGCATATTTCTATTTTTGCCACAAAATAATCAAGTATCACATTTGAACGGCGACTGACGCGCTGTTGACATTCATATGCCCGTCTGGTGATAAGCTAGGCGACGCGGACCCCGCCGACTAACCAGTCTATTACTAGTATTTATGTTTCTTCCGTGTGTGGTTTCAAGTACGACTAGGGATGTTCCGATACCACCAAAATATCGATACCTACTCAAATGAGTAGTAATCAATTCGTCATGCGATACTAATCATATGAGTACTTCAAAATTATCGATGCTTACTCATATCGATACTTTTTTAGGAGATATAAAATACGTCCATACTTTATTATTGGCGGCGCCAAAATAACAAAACAGTAATACTCTTTTAACAAGCACGCACTGCACAATTAAACAAATAAACGTTTTTTTTTTAAAGTATTATAGCTAAATCGATGCAATGGATAACTCCGCTAATGGATCAAGATTTTGATAAACAATTATTACTGCGAATTTATCGTAATAATACCTAAACTAAACTTAATTTATTGTCTGTGAGATTGTCTGTTTACATACTTTTTGTTTTATTTAATATATATTTAGGGGACTATAGGTTTTTTATAAGTTAA